CACAATATATGATCGCTTTATTAAAAATATTACTTGCGGCTGCACCGACAAGCAAGGCTAAAACAGATAGTATTAATATCTTAGCTGATGTATTGCCAGAGGAGATGCCGTAAGTATGATAGTAATGATTTACATAAAATCTTTGAGACAAAAATAATATCGAATATAATTCATTATATTTTATTTTCTAATTAACTGATATTGTGTTGAACTGTTGATTATACGAGCTGTTTAATATACGTATTTTTTTAAATATATATTGTAATTATGCTTAATCTATAATATGGTTTTAGAATGACGGTGTTGCAATCAATGAAATTAGGAATCGATGTTAATCGACATAAGGAGATTATTGTTAAAGCCGTTTCTGCAATTTTATTATTATTGCTCAAGCATTTCAAATTAAATCATGTGTATCAATTCGAATTTATGTCGCAGCATTTAGTATTTGCCAATTGCATACCCCTTGTATTGAAATTTTTAAATCAGAACATTATAGCATACATTGAAGCAAAAAATGTGTAAGTAAAAGTAAAATTATAATTTAAGTTTCTAAGTGTCATAATGTAACCATTAATTTTTATCGCAATAGTATTCCTATTTTGGATTTTCCTATGTGTGTCATTGGCGATCAGCCTGAGTTAACTACTGAAAGTCTCGAGATCGGTCATAGTCAGTCTTTTTCGTGGAGAAATGTTTTCTCTTGTATAAATTTATTAAGAATTTTGAACAAATTAACCAAATGGAAACACAGTAGAATAATGGTAAGGCAATTTTTAATTAGTAACACAAAATGTTTTATATTATATTTCATATTTTTACATTTATATATATTTATATTTATAAAAATGAATATATATATTCGATGCATTTTTATATTTTACAGATGTTAGTCGTTTTTAAATCAGCACCTATTTTAAAACGCACACTAAAAGTCAGGCATGCAATGATGCAATTATACGTTTTAAAATTATTGAAAATGCAGACAAAATATCTCGGTCGGCAATGGAGAAAGACAAATATGAAAACTATTAGTGTTATTTATGCGAAGGTTCGACATCGTTTAAATGACGACTGGGCGTACGGCAATGGTAATAAGTTTGAAATATTTTATTTAATACTTTTCTCGTATTAATGAAAACTTTATAAAGAATTTATAATACTTCTGAATTATTAAATAGATTTAGAAGCACGACCGTGGGATTTTCAAGTTGAAGAATGCGAGCTACGTACATGTGTTGATCAGTTTAATAATCGAAGATATTCAAATATTCCGAGAGACGAGGAAATGGAACCGATCGACGCGTCAATAACATCCGTACTTGGTGCAAATGTAGAATTGACGGAGGAGTTTAAGCAACATTATGAATTATGGTTGCAACAGGAAGTATTTCAAAGGAGTATCAATTGGGACGAATTGTTGGATCCTGCAGCATGTGAAATTTAAGTTTCATACATAAGTATAAAGCGCATGTAAATCGTATCTTTTCTTTAAATCATAGACCTGAATGGAATTGTAACATTTTTACAAATTACATACCGTTATGAGAAGTGTTCAAACAAAAAAACATTGCCATATCGACACTGCAAAAATTTCCAAGTTGCATTTGATATCGCGATGAATGGTCCTAATTTAAAAAATGTTTGACAAAGACTTTCTGATGAAAACATTTCCAATTTTTTTCATAATTAATTTGTGCAATGCAACATAGTACTTGTAGTCATTTTCTATCATTATAGGCGCCATTCTCAAATAAATATAATTTTTCTTTTATATATATATAATGTATATAATATATATTATATATATGATATATTATTTACGTATACACTATATATATATAATAAAATTTGAAATTATATACATATAAAAGAAAATATTAAAATTTAGAACATTTAATATGTTAATCTTTTGCTGTTAAAAGTACCATCTAATTTTTCCATAGATCGAGCTATAATATACCGTAAGTTACAGGCATATATGCCATAATTCAATTTCCTACATTTTATATATTTTTTACGTGTCCTCTTTCAACTCTTCCTATCAAGTGAACATACACAATGAACTTCAAGAGAACTTTAATATACATGCGCAGAGAACTTTATTTCCTCTTAGCCTGTACTATTTGATAATATACAAATATGTATATATATATAATTATTACATATATAAATTATACATATAGATATATTTGTATATGGATATGTATACATCTTGAGTTCATCGTTAATTATGATATTAATTTGTATCTATATACATATTTATGTGTAACTGATCTTAAGACGGAGTTGAATAGCAGAATTATGTTAAACTACAAAATTTAATGGAAAGTTTCTTAATGGAAGATGATCGGCTACCGCTTACCTGGTACACTTAGAATAAGGTTTTTCACAATATAGATATACACATGCGGCAAGTCAACTTTCTCTTATTTATTTAACATAAGTTACATATTTGAATAATCTCACACAGATCTCTAGTGCTATATAATTTATGTTATCAAATACACTTGTACAGAATGCCGCGACTGGTATCATACATCGATACATATGTTTCGATTGTCAAGATTTAATAAAACTGATCTAAATAGGAAGACTGATTCACATTCCTTTGAGATAGCCTCAATATCAGATGGAAGACAAAATTTCTGTAATAGATTTGTTCTTTGTGATTAGATTTGCTCTTGCATCGACAAGTTCAGTGCAGAATTTATTTGGATTGTGCAAGAATAATAAATTGAAATATAAAAAATGCAGATATCAACAGATTAAACAATTTATAAACGTCACACAATTAAATTGCTTATTTAATATAATTTGATTCTTCAAATAAAGAAACAAATTCGTTCTATTCATGAGGATAAAATATTCTATTCATGAGAAATAAAATTTAATCATTGTAACTAATTTTGATTAAAAATGATGATAGTATTATTTATATATATATATATATATTATATATATACATATATATATAATTTAATATTATAAACTTGTCATAATAAAGAAATAAAGTAAAAATCTTAAGAGAATCTATACATATAACTTAGAACAAATAACCTTTTAGCTGTAATTAATTGCAAAATTGAATATTACCGTCAAGTTTTTAAGAAAATTAAAAAATATATGAATATAAAATTAGAAAATGTTACTCGATATTACAATATTAATTTTATTATAACATACTATATACTTATAATATACGTAATTTAAAACTAAAACAGTAATATTTAAATTAATGAAAATTGAAGTGTATGTGTGTGTGATATATATACTATATAGGGCATTCCACGCCAAGTGGGCCATCCATTTTGCGAAGTTCCATGGATTTCGTTCATATTGCGTGAACTTGAACAGTTTGATGAATAAAGACTCTATGCCAAATAATATACCTGTAGGCCAACTGGTTACCGAACTGTAGAACCGTCAATTTTTGGGCTTTCTCGTTGCAGCGCTCTTTTCGCTTGTCGTTAGTGGGCATGAAAGGCAATTTTGAAAATAAAGTGCAGACGTATTCTTATAGAAAGTTGAACGCTCTTTCACGTAAGAATATTATTTTTTTTGATCAAACCGGTTTACGATGATGTTTTTCAGTTTTGAACTTTTCAAAATGGCGGCGCGCCTAAAAGGCCGCTCTCAATTTTCTTTTAATATAGCTCAAAATGTAGCTCCAGGTCTCTACTTTGTTACTCTAAAAGGACTTAATGGGACACGCATTCGTTTGGGAGTAAGAGCTAGGAAAGTGAGGAAAATGAGTGGTGCGGCAGGGGGACGGAGCGACATTGCCTCACTTTCCTAGCTCTTACTCCTAAACGAATGCGTGTGCCATTAAGTCCTTTTAGAGTAACAAAGTAGAGACCTGGAGCTACATTTTGAGCTATATTAAAAGAAAATTGAGAGCGGCCTTTTAGGCGCGCCGCCATTTTGAAAAGTTCAAAACTGAAAAACATCATCGTAAACCGGTCTGATCAAAAAAAGAATATTCTTACGTGAAAGAGCGTTCAATTTTCTATAAGAATACGTCTGCACTTTATTTTCAAAATTGCCTTTCATGCCCACTAACGACAAGCGAAAAGAGCGCTGCGACGAGAAAGCCCAAAAATTGGGTGGCCCACTTGGCATGGAATGCCTCATATATATATACACACATATAATTTGTGTATATATATATATTTATGCATATGCGTATATTATTTTATAAACACTGACATTTTTATAAAGTTAGAACATTACTGCTTTAATTTTAAATTAAATATTACGAATTTTCCTTCATTTATTATTGGATCTTGCAGATTTGAAGGTTTAGTACAAAGATTACAAAGAATCAACTTTATTGCTTTGTTAAATACCGCTGCACGACAAAAAATAGCTATATCTGATCATCAAGTCTGCCAAAAAGTACACTTTAATGAGGGGGCTCCGTTTGTCTACAGATCGATTGCCTACAGCACCGTTTGCCTACATCCCATTTGCCTACAGATCGATTTCCTACAGCTTGATTACCTACATTTATTTTTGTCTACATCCCGATTGCCTACATTAATTTTTGCCGACATATATTTTTGCCTACATCCCGATAGGCAAACATACATGTCGGCAATCAGAATGTAGGTATAATTGAGCTGTAGGCAATCGGGATGTAGGCAAAAATACATGTTGACAATCGAGCTGTAGGCAAATGGAATGTAGATAAACGGTGTTGTAGGCAATCGATTTGTAGGCAAACGGGGTCCTCCCCACTTCAATATATATTCTACATTAATGCAAAAAGCTTAACGACATCAGAACAAACCTTGTATTATTATACATATAAAATCGAATATGTAGAAACCTTCGATTGAATAAAAGTGGAATAACATGAAATATATATATGTATACATATATACATAATATTACATAAAATTGTATAAAAATATTAAATATGTTGTACAACGATTTATCAAAATTTTTGGAATGTGATAGTCAATGATAACATTTTTTTTAATTTAAATATCTTCGAATTTGTACTTTGCGCGATGAAATCTCATATCACAGTGTCGGCATTGATTTCACGGTTTCACCCATTTATATGAACCATAGTACGCGAAATTATGTTTTTTTGCCATTTCATCAGCTTCTTTCGGTCCTCGAGAACCATACCTAAAATTTTTCATAAATAACATATTTTGCACGCACTAGAAATACATCTGCTTTATACTATACATACTTATATGGAATCGGTGGAATTTTTTCTTTTTCGATTTGATGAAGCAGTGGTGTGAATATCCGCCATGCTTCGTGCAACTCGTCATTTCGCACGAAATGCATTTGCGAACCGCAAAAAACATCTAAAATTAGTCTCTCGTAGGCATCCGGTAATTTAAGGCCCTGGAAGAAATAACATTTATAATGAGAACATAACGTACATATTCGATTCTAATTTCACCAAATTTGACAAATTCTTCAATCACTGAAATTACTTACTTTGTATCTACTACCATAAGTAAAATCCAATTCCGTTTCTTCCATGTCAAACGTTATGCCAGGTGATTTTGTCATCATTTTAATGTACAATGCTTCGCCTGGTTGCACTCTTATCACTAATTCGTTCCTTTTTGCCTTTCCATCAAAAATATCACCCGGTACATCTTGGTACTGTACTCTTACTTCTGCTTTCCTTTCGTTTAACGCTACGACATAACATGATTAAAGAAAGAGCCTTTATATATTTGTTGAAAAATGAATTCTCTTCAATCTTCTTACCTTTCCCGCATCTCAAGATAAATGGTATTCCGTCCCATCTCTCATTGTTTATCTTTAGTACTGCGAACGCGAATGTCGGAGTGTTTGAACCGACTGGTACTGTGGTATCATCCAAGTAACCTAAGCGTGCCTCCGGATCCTCAGCATCTGAATCTCCGACGTATTGACCGAGAACTACCTGATCAAGTTGCACGTCCTTGATACATCTAAGAACCTTTACCTTCTCATTTCTGATATCATCCGGATGACAAGAGGCAGGTTTTTCCATTGCTACCAAGGACAAAATTTGCAACAAGTGGTTCTGCATCACATCTCTGATGATACCAAACTCGTCGAAATAACCACCTCGACCCTGAGTACCAAATGGTTCTTTGAATGTGATTTGCACTGAGGCTATATTGTCCCGGTTCCATGTTGGGTTGAATATCCTATTTCCAAATCTGAAAGTCATCAGATTCTGCACCATCTCCTTGCCAAGATAATGATCAATACGGTAGATTTGATCCTCGCTGAATAGCGTCGCCAAGTGATCGGAGAGTTTTTGAGATGAGCCGGCGTCGCGACCGAATGGTTTCTCGATTATAATTCTCGTCCATCCTCTGAAATTTTATATATTTTATATACATACATATCTAATTATACTTATATCTAATACGTATTTTTAGTAGAATAATTTAAATATTTTTTGTATTTAGATTATTTTACTAAATATATATTAGGTATATATTCCATATATTTATCAATGAAACAATTTGGAACTTTGGAATATAATTTTAATTTATCTTTTCTTTTTTTCCGATTTTTATATTGTCTGCTTGTCGATTATTTCGTTTTAAATGGAAAATTTATTTCATGTATTATATATTCAAAATTCTGCTTACTTCTCTCCCATACAGGTAAGTCGGATGCGTACCGTAACGCTTTCGTACACGTTCGGTGGTAATGCCAAATAAAATAGCCTGTGTGCAGTGTGCCCTTGCTCAAAATTCTGTAATTTACGATTCAGTTGTTCAAAGTCTTTCTTTTGATCGTAGGAGCCAGCAATATAATGATTTAACTTCCAAAATTCTTCATACTTCTCCTCCTCGTTCGACTTCACTTTCATGTACGGATGGCATTTCTCACGTAATTGTTGTATCGTCAATTTACTTCTAGCGTAGCCGACGAAAGTGGTTGGTTTTGGTAGAAGATTGTCTCGGAAGAGCCACCAAAGAGTAGGATAAATTTTCTTCTTGGCAAGATCGCCCTTTTTATCATCAATAAATGCAACATTTACATTAAAAATTAAAAATAAAATTTGATGAACAAAAATGAATATATGCTTATTAACTATTATACAGTTAATAAAAAATTACAATCGAATTTTAATATCCGAAGAAACAAAATTTCAATCGCATAGTTGAAAATTGTAATATAGTAATTACATATTCCTAACTCAAGTAAATATAAACTGAGAAATTGTTAAAAATTGCTTTTATAATACGGAATAATAATGCATAAAAATTAATATTCTTATTAATTGTTGACTGAGTGTTTTATTGCAAAAACTAACGCCTGTAATTAGCTATTTTTTATGATATTTTTAGCGAAATTCAGCGGGGATAAAATTTCATTTATAATGCACAAAAGGTCAGGAGAAAACACACACAATAACAAAAGAGGATAAATATAAATCCTGTAATCAAAACTTTATCAATTTAAATTCTAACAACTTTGCATAATAATTTAACTTTCAACTGTGTGCTCCTATATGATAATCATGAGTGAACTCATTATCAATTGTTAAATGCAACCAGTAAAAAACGATACGTCTCCGATGAGTAAAGGCCTCAGCACAAAAATGGCTATAACTGACAATGAGTCGCGAAACGTGAGTCGTAATCGTAGGTCAATGCACAATATTTGGTCAATCTACAAATACAATTAAGTACAACTTACATTCCGTGACTCAGTTACGACCAGTTACGACCATCTTTACATTTAAGCCTTAATATATTAAACTGTGTGTTATATAAATCGAAATATTTGAATTTATTATTCAATAATGTGTATAATATTCAACAAATATTTACATTTAGGGTATTCCACTTGGCGCTCGCAAGTATTATTTGTTCTTATTTAATACTTAATAAACGATAAGGATGAAATGATTCCAAGATCGTTATAAGCAAGTGGAACACGGCTTTAGTTGCAATTACTTTGCAACTTTACTTTGCATATTTTATATTTTCTTCCAAAGTTATTTATGAACTTACAGACGCTCCAAAAGTAACAAACACGTGCGGGATGAGCCTATCGAAATGAGTTCCTTCTAGATGATCCATTTCTTCCGATTTCAGGGACTGCCTGATATACTGCAGGCTCTCTTCCGTTGATGTTCCTAGGTTAACATTAAAATTTTTCAGAGATTTCTTTTTTATTTTAAAAATTAAGGATTTTTATGGGATTTTATTGGATAAGGAAATTTTTAGACTTATTAATTTTTTACTCTTAAACTTTATCTCTTCCTGAAAATTGTTTCATTAATCATTTTTTATATAAAATGTTGATAATCAATTAGCAGTAAGTACGGCATACATATTCTATGTCAAATCAAATATATTTATTCACTTCAGCTCATATTCTATGTATATTTATGTATATTTTTAAAGGTTTTGCGAATTTTAAAAAAAATCAAGGTGACCATACAATACTCAACAGAATTATTTATATGTAATGAGTTTTCCTTATCACTCTGGGGTTGTTGTGGATAATCAAAGGAACAAAAAATAAGAATTTTAACCTATCGAAACTGAATATATTTTGTAGTACATAGTTTCTGATAGGTTAACATTTTTATTCTGTATTTTCTATTCTTTAGTATTCTTTTGATTGTACAGCACAGCCCTTACAAGTTCCGCAGCTTCAATTGTGAAAAACGATGGATATAGTCTCGTAGAACATTGTCTTCTGCTAATTTTCAATATATATTTTTATGTTACTTGCTGTTTAATTTATTTAAAAATTGCATTAAAAAGTTTTCTAATTTTACTTGGAGTTTTGAACAAAAATATCTGAAAAATCCGGTAATTTTTAGAAAATTCTTTTGCAAAATTTCAGTAAACACCACTTGTATCATTTTATAATATTTGCATTTTATCATATATTGTAAATGTCTATCTAAATGAATCGTTATTAAAAAGTTTTATTGTATACCACTTTTTTAGTAATCAGTATTTTATTATTTCAGTCACATATAATTAATTTGTTATATGTTTTTATATATGTGAATAAGTAAAAATTATTGACAAGACACTTTTCTTTGAACTTATTCTTTTGAATATAAAGTTTACAAATGCACACAAAGTTTCAAAAGGTTAATATAATGCGACACACTTGATGAATCCAATACCGAATTAAAAAAAAGTTTATGTTTAAAATTTGCAAACATATGAAGCTTTTTCATGCGTCTTTCTATTTGTAAAATCAAGTTTCATGCTAAAACAACATTACGTGTAATCATTTAAATATTATTTGTAAGGATATATCTATCTCTATACTTACAAAAAAATGAACTTTATAAATAGCTTCCAAAAAAAAGAGTAACTTTTCCCAACCTTAAGAATTAACCATGTGAAATATTCACGTCTAATACAAAAATGTAGAAAATCTTTATCTTTTAACGTGTAAAGAACTGATTTTTCTTTTACTAAATTATCAACACATTTTGAATTTCTTATAATCAGATAAATTTTATATTTTACACATTTAAGGTAAACTTTCCTGCACGACACACAGTAACATTATTCAATGTATATCCTATAAAAGTTTCAATAAGAGCGAATCCTTGTGTTTATACATTCTTGTAAGTGTACATTCTAAAATTAACCTTGAATATAGTCATTATGCCTTATGTTCATGTCGGTTAATGTAAAAAGGATCTTTTTAAATTTACATAATTAGTTATGAGAATTCTTTTGTGTAATTTGACATCAACAGTAAATGCGAAATTTTTCAGACACTAAAACAACTTATGTAAAGATAGGAATAAAGATAATTTTCTTAATTATTTTTTGAAAATAATCGTCATGTGTTATAATGTCCATGCACAATTTTTTTTACTACTAAAACCTTTTTTAAATTTAAATAAGACTTGATATTTGATATATATAAAAACAAAAAAGGAAACAAAAGAAACTAAAAACACAAGAAAGATGTAACAAGTAAAGTCTAAAAATTTTCGACCCAAGGATATGGAGAGTCTAAAATAAATAATTGTATTTATTTTTTAATACAATTATCTTTTATTTTAATGCACTTTTTGGAACAGTTTAAATAATAATCTCAATTTTTGTTTTTAAAATGATTTAATACTGTAGAAATTACTTTTTTATTTATATATTTCTTTAATGGTAAATTTTAAATAATTATAAATTTTTATACTCCTTTATTGATCAATTTTTTTCTACGTAAATTGAACTTTAATTTTAAAAATATAAAGCCTAATTAGTAAAAAATGTAATTTGCGTGGAAAAATACTGATCATTAATGAAAAAGTGATTATCACAGTATTATTTTAAGGATAAAAATATATTTTCCATTGCTTTAAAAAATTAAAACATTAGTCCGTAAAATAAACAGTATATAGTTAGTATTGAAAAGTAAAAAAGGATTGTCTCTTTACCATCTTTTATATATCTGGAAACCGGAAACTTTAAATTTTATTATGTACACGTCATGTGAAGATTAATGACCTCGAAAGAAAAAAAATTTAAAGAAATTTTATTTATTTTATTTTTCCTCTATTCAGCATGTTCGATGCACACAAAAGTTCAAAATCACATATTTTTTGTATTTTTCACATTTAATCACACACAGTAACAAAATACATAATATTATTTATACTACTATTACTCATAATATAAAAAGAGAGATAACGCATAATTATCATTTAATTATCATTTTTTAAATTTAATTATAAACTCATAAATGTTTGAATTTTACTGACAATAATTTATTACTAAATAAGAAATTCTAATATATCATTGATCAAAATACACGATTATTAGCCACATAGTATTATGAAGTCATCACTTTTTGGGACAGAACTACGACACGTAAATATAGTTTAATTTGAACTTGCATGAAATAATTATAATAGTGAAAATAAATGACGAACACACTGAGGTTACATAAAAACTTTTTTTAACTTACTTGATAAGGTATTCATGGTTTTCGTCACAGAATTCATGATTTTGCAAACAAGTCGCACGGAAAAGACACAAAAAAATGTGATCGACTGATTACCAGTGCCAGCAAGTCTCTTGCCGATCTTCTTTGACAATCTCGCCGCTTCACCAGCGGAACCTCGACTGAGCGTCGGATTTGCCTTGCATGCGCGTACCACGTGCAATCAGGCAAACGTAAATGCTTACGAGGCAATTATGGAGTGCCCTCGAAGATAGATAAATCCATCATCCAATCATTTTCCATAAAAAAATTCAATTCCCCTCTTCATTATTTCAAGAATATATTTAATTCAATAGAGCGAAGATAGAAAATTATATGGGGATTTATTTAAAATCAAGTATTTAGCTTGTATTAAATATTTAGTAATAACAACAACCAATTAACTAAATAACATAATAAATATAAACATAATGATTTTAAATATAAATCTATATGTTTAAAATAATTTGATCCTTGTTGATACAGCAATATCTAAATGATTACAAACGCCATCTTGGCATTATTATATACAAAATTGACATTATTATACAAATTTTGTTACAAACAATACTTTTTTAATTTCTATTTTAGTTTTTCAGCATATTTCTCGGTAATCTATTGAATACAAAGATAAGTTTTTACCAAAAGCTTTGATAGTCGCGAATTGTTACGTTTAATAATACTATAGAACGATAAGTTTTATTATCAGCGAATCCGATTACATAATCGTACATTATTCTGCGTGAGAATTTACTCTTATATATTTTGTTTACAAGTAAAAAAGTCATGAGTAGATTCTATTTTCATAAGTGCAAAGTGTATGTATACTAGAGAATATGGCATTTGTATAATGACTTTGATGACTCAATTTCATTTCTTGTACATCATCAATATAATGTATGTTGCTAAACTTATAGTTAAACCTTTTGCAATTCGTACAAACACTATTTCCACAACAAAAAAGTTCCAGCGACCATTACAAGACACGTCTGAAGTCGACGAAGCATCTGTCTGCGAATTAATCCGATCTCGAGCATCATCGGGGTATTGTATATTATTATAAGGCCTGTTCTTTTTAGCTAATCTTTTTGTACGGTTCATTTTTCTTCTCCTTTTTTCTTCAACGTGAATAGTAAAGGGGAAAAGATAAATAATGTAAGAAGCTCAGGTAAAAATAACAGACCTATCATTATATATATTGTACATTACTATTGTGTTTTACTATAGCTATTTTATATATATATATATATATATATATATAATATATGTATATAATATTATAGTTTACGTGGAAATGTGATGATGATGCGCATAATAATGCAAAAAGTAATATCTAAAATCTTTGAAGTTGAATCTAATTCCAAAGAGAAAAATCTCTTAAAAATTAATAATCGAACCATTCATTCTTTGTCACTCTTTAGAATTAGATTCCACTCCAAAGATTTTAGGAAGTATAGAGACAGAATAATGCAAGAAATAAAACACATTCTCTTCAAAATTGTGTAAAAAGTATGTTAAAAATGTGTATTATTTCATGAAAGAACTTATAAGAAATAGGAAAACTCACACAAAATACTAAAATATTATAAAAGTAATAATTTATTTATTATTATCAGATTATAAAGTTTAGAGAAACCATTATCCATTTTTTATTTATTATACATGCGTAAAAATAGTGAACACCACGCACAAATTAGGCATGCAAAGATATTTATGTATTGTGTTATAATTCTCATAATAACAATGACTGGCAAATCAATGAATTATCAATCGAGAGTGCCAATGAGTATGCAGTTCTTGAATAGCATCATAGCGGTGAAATATGCTTTCTCGCACTCTTATTTTCAAAGATGACTTCCAATTGATATAGTCGGTATCATTACATACGATCTACTTGATTTTCGACCAATTACAGGTTCAAGACCTCTACAATTGTTTGAGCGATATGATACTCAACTGTTAAATTTGAAAACAATTCATGCAAGATTATTTCAAATCCGATTGTTTTGTTTTTAAGCTTTTACATATTTAATTTCTTCTAATATTTATTTTACTTTTTTTTATCAAGTTAATAATTTTGTTATGCAATTAATTCGGTGGGAAGAAATGTATATCTGCCGACTCAAATAGAACAAAATTGTCTCAATCAACAATCTAGCCATTTTTTCACAACGACAACGAATTATTTATTATCATATAATACAATTTAATCAATGATATCCAATGAGATTTGTTAATCGTCAAGAAGGTACATTCCTGTTTTTATACAGTGTATACACAATTGATAAAATTTAATTTAGTTAAAATTAAAAGTTGCCACCATAATTCTTTCTTTTCTGACATAAATGGTTCTTGAAGATAATATAAAAGGTAATCGCGGATATAATATTACACTTTAGATTACAATAATGCATTTCGTTGAAGCTTTGACATTATGTGCGAAGGTTGGAAGCACGATATCGGAATAGCGAAACGTGAGAGAATTTTGAAATTTAAATTCTTTGTTGGCTCACTTGAAATGCACATAAAATAAAACGATCGTGACATAGTAAGACTATAAAAATGACTTTAAATTTAACTAAACATGCTTATTTCGATATATAATTTGAATTATTTCTCATTTATCACTGTATTCCAAGGATGTGAAAAGAAGTCTAAGAATAGCACAAAAATAACAATATTTATACATATATAACAATCACTTTGTTAGATAATCGACAAAAAATATTATATTCATTTATTATGTTCATGAAATAGTTTATTTAAAATTTTATGCTTATTTAATAGTTTAAACATTATTTAAAATAATATTATGAATTTATAACAATTGCATTCCAACTCGCTGATTTTAACAATACATTCTTACGAAAAAAAAAAAAAACGTAAAGTCATCATAATTATAAACGATGAAGAAAGTAAAAACATAATTGCATATGCGCAATATATTTCTTTACATGTGCCTCGGGCAAAGTTAATGCGCGGACGCGGACCTACTTTTCAAGGCAGCCTAGAATGAATTAAACTCGCGGCTGCAAAACATTGTAAATAAATTTATGTCAAAATCTAGAATAGCCAAGCCAGTTCTCCAATTCCGAGATGCCAGTTTCGTTTCAATATATACGAAACTCACGTCATTCTATTACAGCATTTATACCTGTGTTCTTTACTTTCCTATATCGCTTTTAAAATCTCAAAAACTACAACAGCTTTTTCATAATTAAGATAACAATTTTTCAAAAATATCTAAAAAATTTGATTTATTTGACAAAGCAATAATAATATTATAGTATCGTAAATAATAATCTTATTGCATGCATTAAAATTCCTATATATACATATATTTAAAAAACTTCAATTTAAGATCAAAGAAGTTATTTATGTTAAAACACTATGAAATAAATTATGATTATGAAAAATAATTTGTTTTTTTTTTTAAACATAAAAGTGGTTATAACTTGAAAACGACATTTCCGGATTTATATAGCTTTTCTTTTCTTCTTTTTTTCCCGAATCACTTTCCGAAGTGCGACAGGCGATTTTTCGAACATCCTGTATATATGAATAATTAAAATATATAAATAAATAAACAAATAATGTAATAATATTTATTATATATAATAATTTGAATTTAAAATTCAAATTTATTTAAATTTCAAAAATACAAAAAAATATATGCGTTATTTCAAAATAAGTATTTTAAATAAACAGAAAATATTTTGCGTCGATTATCTCAAGAAATGATAAAGTACACGTTGATAAAATAATCACGTTTATGTCTCATGCCACTCTTCAAAAGGGTCCAGAGATCTGAACTAAAAAAAATCTGAAATTCGATCTACGGATCAAACCGCGTAACGAATTTACCAAAATTCCACGGTACATATTTCACGATAAGACAAGCGATATATACTCGTCATTCGATCATTATCGCGTGCGTGAAATTTTTCACAACGCGACAATCGCTCGCGATCGCGTGAGGAAAAAAAAAGTTACATCGTACGATGCATTATCGACGAGTTTTCGCGTCGCAGCGTCGCGCGTTTTAATCTCACAAACATCGTTTGTCTCTCTCCTGTCCTCTCCTGCGATTTAATTTTATCAGTGCGCCTTTTTGCGCCGTTTAGTTCTTGAGAGCGCGCGTCGCGTCATATCTCCGTGAGGAATAAAAAAAAAAAAAATAAATAAAATCTTAAGATGCATCGCGCGCACAAAAGACGTCCGTCATTTTCGGTTTAATGGACTCACTTCTTTGGTGCTCCGCCATTCTTGATCCTTGAACCTTGACGCTACCCTGCTTGACGAAATTTCCCTTTCACCGATTTCCTTTTGGCACAGCCGAATACACGTGTGGCCTTGCCGCCAAAATGACACAGTCACGCGCAACTTGGAGACAGTTTGAGGTTATAAGCATCAATGCGATAACGTTTCCTTGCTCCTCTCCTCTCCATTCCGAGTATTCCCACACAACATCGTTCCCCAGAAACTTATAAGCTTGCGATTTCTTCGTCTTTCAGCGCGATAAAAATAGCGCGCGATTATTAAACGATTTTGACTGCCTTTGACACAAGAGAGAGGAAAAGAGAGATAGAAATTTTCAATATACAGAATTCCATTTCTTTATGCAATTTATTCATGCATTTTAATTCACACGAAGCGCGTGTCTAAAAAGAAAAAAGAAAGACGAGAAGTACAGGATTACAGTCGAAGAAATCAAGCTAATATTTGTTTTACCTAATTGATTTTTTATTTGTTTTGCTCTTAAAAAGCTGGATTTCGCGTTTGTACGTTCTGGTATAACAATAATTTCATGTGGCGTGTTCTACGGCACTCTACCGTTTTAAATTGCGAATGCGAAAAGAAAACACGATGGAGTAGAACACGAGGGAACATAATTGAAATTGAAAGTAAACGCTACCGCCATCTGATCGCTTGAGGTTGCATTTTCTTGAAAGTCTAACGTGATTGTTGTTACGATCAACTCTGATAGACATTTTTGCAAGAAAAATTAATGTACGTTCAGTAAAAATTGTTAATGATTATCAGAACTGTATTTCGCCATTAATTGTGTTTATATGTCGATATAAAAAAAATCATGCGTTTAATTACTGACGTAGATCTGAAAAACTTAACCTCACTTTCTTAAAGAAATTTATATTAATTTTATATATTATTTTGCTGTATATTTATGTAATATTCATATTTGTAGTGTATATTAAATTATATATATTTATATTACGTTACAGAAACATGAAATTGATGTCAATATTATTTCGCAACGCGAGACAACCACAGAATGAAAAGAAGGTGCCTTTTAAAGAAATTATGCCATTAAAATTAAAGGCTTATGTGAGCGCGAAGAATCAGAGGGTAAAAGGTATATTTATCCCTCTAGAAATGATTTATTGACCCTATTTAATTATATATCTCTTCATAGTTGACAGTGTAGCTTTATTTGCTATATTCAGTTATAAATCTCGGCCAAGAATGTCAAACAATTCAATTTTTTGTTACATTTATAAATTTGAATTATTTTTATTAAAATATATTTAGCCTTATCTTTATATATAGTAAAAATTAAAGGTTACTAAAAAATTAATGAAATTCAATCATAAATTTCTTGATAATTTGTAATTAAGGTAATTACAAATTATTGTATTGCGAAAATGAATCTTAATATTCATTTTTTCAATATTTATCTTGATTCCTTGAAATTAATTAGTGCCTTTTAATTAATAAATTAAATGAGTCTTACAAGCTATTGTTAGTAACTATATCATAGATTTCGATATCAGCTTTTAAAAGGATTGAAAAACAATTTTATTTTTGTTGTTGTACATCCTATAATTATACTGGTTGTATTATATATTTGTTACGATACAACTGATCATAGACTATAAATTTCATTCTACACAAAACACATTTTATTACAATTGACAATAAAATTAAAATTTAAAAGAATTTTATAATTTCTTATATATATAATTTTAATATATTTATATTTTCAGATAAGGGATGTTTATTACAAATGACTTTACTTTTGACGTGTCTTGAAGAAAATGAGTTTGAGGACACTAGATGTACCCCAGAATTAAAAGCATTGAATCAGTGCTTCCAGGTTTATCAAAGTAATCAAGAACGTATATATTCACAGCAAGAAAAACTACCTGTGCCTAACAGTAAGAACTTCTCGCAAAAGCAGATAACAAATCTTTTACGAAAATATCCTACAGTATAGTGCTTTTCTTATTGTAGAGCTACATCAATGCATTAATATATTGTAAAACAATTTATTATCATACTTAACACTTAAACATATAAAAACTGTTCCTGTAAATATTTATAAAGATCTATAAACATCTTTATTTCCATTTATATAATTATCTTATTAAAGTATGTATGTATATACATATATGACGATTGTTTTAAATTTAAAGTAATTATTTTTCATTCTTGACATCGACAATACCTTGTTTATCAGAAACTGTATGCAAACGTTTGAACGCAAGCCGTTTCGAATAACCTAAACATAATACAATCTATTATGCGAAAATTTGATCCAAGCATCCATATGAAATTGTACATAAAATACATACGAATTGGTTCAATGTTGGAAATAATTGGAGTTTTCTGTATGATATTTAACTGCTGTTCAATCCTTTGTAAAGCCTTATAATTTTCCAATTGTCCATCTTTATAATAGTAATATGTACAGAATAACGTTATAGCACAAAGCATTAAGGCAATTTTTCTGCACAACCATGTTGTACTTAGCAGGTGCACCTATAGGAGAAAATGGAATAGTATTATTTTATGAAAAACAATCTTTATAACTTTCTTATAAAATTACCTTATCATCGGGAGATTGAAAAATAATCTTATCATAATATTGAACGAGTATTCTTTCAATCACTATATTGAGACTTAGGATACTAAAGAGAGCAACTCTTGCATCAACTGTTCTTCTAGAAGAACTGAATAATGCGCACAGAATACAGCTAACAGTATAAAATATAATAGATTGAAACCAAGACACTTCTCCAATAATCCAGCTTTGGAAAGTACGTATATATGAGAAGATCTCATAAAGTAACTCCTTCTGATCTTTAGCCGATTCTCTAAAATTTAATCAAAAGTTTTAAATTGACAGTTTATATAGTATTTACATTTATTGAAGTTTTAAACGTTAACAAAAATCATCCTTACAAACTCACTTGAAATCCGATACCATATTACTAACTGTATCAGACGAAGTCTTTAGTACAGTCCCAAGTTCTTTGCCATGATCTAGAATCTCGTTCTGAATACGCAGACCTTCCTTTTGACTGTTTAAAATTGTATCTTGCATTTCCGATGCTTCTAACAATTGATCCTTCATTCGTGAAGATACTTGAAACAATCTAAATATGTAGAATAATTAAATATAGTTCAAATATGTAAAAATACGTGAGTTTTTGCATTTTACATATGCAAAAATATTATATATATGTACTTACAGCTTTATAGTACTTTCAACTTCAGTTTGCCAAGCTTCATAATTTAAAAAGAAACAGATATGAGTTGCATGAGTGTAGAATTCATTGTAAACACTGAAGGCTCGGTCTGTCATGTCGCCAATGCATTTCCTGTGATATAAATATCGGTGAATTATTACAAAATCAGACATAAATAAGTAATTAATAAAAAATACTCATTTTACCGACGCTCGTCATCTGTTTCACTGAAATGACAATTGTAGGGTGTGAGACCAGAATCTTCTAAGAAGCAATTTGCTAGGTGCAGAGCAAGAAGTGAATGTTTGTGATCATTCAATTGGTTGCAGTTGCTCTCCAATGTTTGGAGCGCAGTATGCCAACATTTTCCATGTTGGGGCAATGATGATTTTGCTGAAAATGTGTTTTCAATGTATTTTCTATTAACTATTGTTCTTAGCAATTTCGACTTTTCAATTTTTTACCTTTTAATAAGGAATATTCTTTCTCCCCCAAATTTCTTAAGACTATATTGCCATTATTGTTAGCCAATGTTTCATGAATAATAATAAGTAACAAAAACCAAATCATCTTGGAATTAAATATACATACAGCCTTTTTAGATTTTATAAACTTTCAGGAAGTGTATATTAATGTAGTTCTCCATTATTTTGTTAGATGACACATTTGGAGTAAACAAAACAATTTTATTGTTATGGTACAAAAAAATATAGGAAAATACAGGACATGTTATTATATCTATAATTGTATTGTATTTTAAATTTTAGAGTTCGAGTGTTGAGCCCGGGACATTTACAAACATCTACATTCACATATATTTATTTTTTGTACATAACTTTCGAACGATAATGTGATAAACAGTTGGCGAAGAGTCAAAATAAAACTAAATTAATTAAAATTACGAAATTGAAATCTATGGAAAGCAAAAATTAAATTAAAATTAACACAAAGTTTAAAGGTGTTAAAAAAATGTGTAAAAAAAACTGTTGACTTGAAGAGAGAGAAAGAGAGACACACACACTACAAAAGTTTAAAAAAAAAAATAGAAAAATAATTGCGTTTTTCGGAATTTTTGAACGAGAATTTGTACGATCATTCCAGCTTTCTGAGTTGTTTGCCAACAAAGCACATTATTCTCACTCATTATTCATGCTAATTATACGAAATTGCTGATAATAACACATATTAAGTGAATTTGAGCAACAAGTAACAAATATATTTAAACATTGTTGAAGTCGAGGACCGCACAGCGTCGTATTTGAATCGGTTTGTAACGGACAGTTCCTCAATCTGACGCGATTGGGCGCGATTGTTAACGTAACACCTGCTGTATACTAGCGCCCTCATAGAAGATTCGTATTTCGTAGTGACTGGAGAAAATAGCAAGAACCAGAAATCATGAAAGAAAAAAGAAAACCTTCTTTATAGTACAAAAGTCAATGTTATAATTTTAGCTATAAATTACAGCAATTACATTACAACAATTAAATAATATTATTTAACAACATTATATAACTAATATAACATTATATTAGTATTTACTATATATATTATAATACAAGTATTTCTAAAATATTTTTAAATATTTCATAAATATTTTAAATATTTTATAAATATTTTGTAATAGTCTTGGTAAGTACCATATATCTATTTTGTAAAATTGTCGATAAAATCATAATGTCGAAAACGAATGTGGTGCGTGTCTGTGCTAATAAGAACCAATCCTGGCAGCTCTTACTAGCATGGACATGCACCAGGGAACGGAAAATAACTTTTGAAAATAATTTAAATAAATTATCGTTATCGTTACCGAGTCAGAAAAGTACTTATACTGTTATTATAGTTACTAATTTTCAAAAGTAATTTATTGTTATCTCTTTCTCTCGTTACTTGAAAAGTATTATAACAATTCGTTACTTTTCCATTTTCGTTTTATATATAGTTTTAAAATTTCCGAGGAAAATTTTTTTCAGAAAAGTTTCAAAAAATGATGGACTTTTTCCGCGATTTTCAATTATTTTCTTAAAAGTAAAAAAATTCGTTGGAAGAGTTAATATGTAAAACATATATATTTGCATACTTTTTTTATAAAGAAAATAAGTTGTGTTTTTTTTTTGTAATTTGAAAAAACCAGATTTTTTTAAACTGCACTTTCTAAATTACAAAAACAAAATTAAATTAAATAAAAAATTTATTTTGTAATATTCTCACAAATATTAAATATAAAATATTAATAAAATACTAATAAAATTTGTGTAAAAAATTTGCAAAATAAAATTTAAGAAAAATGATTTAAAAATATAAACAAAAAATACTTCATTTTCATTACATTTATAAATATAACCAAATTAATATTTTTTGTATCTACTTTATATTTAAAAATTTTAGTAGAATATTTTTACGCTTAAATATATTTTGACTTAAAATTGTTCTTAGAATATATAAAATTACGAGGATTATTCTGATCTAGGATATAAGACTAAGGATATAGTATATCCTAATAAGATTATTGGACATAATTTGAATAATCTGGATCTGTGGATATACAAAATCATTTAAATTACATATCAAATTGCAAAGATTGAGTAGGATTACATTAAAATATAAACATGCTGACTCTCATTGGCATTAATTTATTTAGTTGGATATTCTTTTGGAGCCTGACTCTCTGTTAAATTTATTTTTTAAAACATAAATTTGTTAAATTTTACATTTTTTATTTGCATTAGGTAAAAGTTAATACTCGTATTATATCATCGTTTAAATGTTACCTTGATGGCAAGAATACAAAATTAGTGATATTATATCCCTTAAATATAAGATCGTTGTTTCTTGATATCGGATTATTATACAAATCACATTTTATCATTTAAATATATCCTCATATATCCTACTGAAGCTACGAAGGAGTAAAGTTTACTGTGCACAAAAAAGCGGAACAGGATCATTCTGATCAGTTAGCCCCTTATATATTTTCTTTCCGTTATATTTCCATAGGAATCCTTAAAATTATTCTTAAAGATAATTTTAAATATAACAACAAATTACATCACACATTATAAATATTGATCAAAAAATGCAGATTGAATCTCGTGTAATCAGTTTTAATTTTCTCACAGTTATATTAAAACAGAATTAATTAACTCGAAAATGCCAATTGCATTGATCAAGTTATATTGGCATTATGAATATACATTTTATAGTGTTGATACATTTTTTAATTTATGTATGTATTTATTATTTATTTTATTTATATATATTATAATATATTATTTAATTTTAATAACGTATAGTGTCATAATATATATAATATTTTCCAGCAAGAGGCATAGTACAACACAAACTGTAACACAGTGTTCATTTGAACAGTGTTCATTCCACTTTTGTTTAACATTGGCAAACAAGAATGTAATGATTCACTTGCGTGTTACTCGTGTCTCTTGCTAAAATGCTTCTATAAATAGTAATACATAGTTAATAATAGTAATACATAGTTTAATAATACAAATATACAAGTTTGATAAAAAATTGTATACACCAGCTTTATTAACATTGTAGAACTTTTTTTTACCACAATTCAATAAATTAGTTTATATACATCACTGTATACACATATTAGAAATGCAAATTCTATTTTTTTAGTTTAATTTTTAAATTTAAACCTAATAAATATTTTAAGATTTCCACGTCACATACATTTAGCTGAAAATTATGGCGAGCAATTTTTAATTATTAATCGAATTTATTAAAACTATTATTAGACTTCATTAATGGTTTTTCATCAATCATTTAATTGCTACCACTCAAGGTGATAAATGTTTTTGGCTACAGTGTTCGACACTGATGTAACGAGAGTATCGGTGTGCCATTAAATCAAAGAGTGAAATTATCGAAGAGATTCACGATTGAAGCAGCGTCTTGGCGCCGTTGGCTTATCGCCAGCGTCGCTTGCCATTGAATTCGCGTGGACCGAAAATAAGTGAGTCGGTACGGTAAACAGGCGGTACAGTGACACGGGTTCGATCTCCTCGCTTGCCTCTTAAAGACCGGTTTAACCGAATAAGCGCGGGGACATTTTGGGATCATTGTTCGGCCTGCATGGCTGTCCACCTCGTAACTCGCATGAAGACGCCAACAGCCAGATACGTAACTGCAGAAGGATGCAGCGCATGCACATGTACATACACACATACGCTCTGCGCGTTTCGTTTTATATCTCTTTATATATAGCATTTTGTTTCTAGATGTCACTTATAATATAATAATAATCACCAAAAAATTATGAAATTAGGAGCTCCAATTCTTTAGCGCAATATCGATTTATTTTTGATCTCACATATAATGATTTAACTATAAAGTATAATATAAAAATTTAAATAATAGATCTGAAAATAATTTTATTGGACTACCAAAATAATTATGTTTGATGTTCAAGTTAGTTGCTAGAATGACAAAATCTTTTTGCAACACATTGATCATCATACTTAAGTTACCTATAATTATTTTTATTATTCAACAAAATTATTTTTGGATCTGTATATATAAAAGATAATATATATAATAGATAGATATATATAATAGATACTTTTTAAATATTTCGGCAAAATTATTCCTTCAGAATAATTTTAATATTTTGATTTAATTGTGAAAGATAATATTCTCATGTTCAGTTTCTATTTCAAGATTATATTAAGTAATATTTTATAATCCTAATATGTGGATCTATGATTGCATATCTATGATATCTTAATTTCTTAATCTTTGAGTCTTAATCTTAATCTTAATTTCCTAATCTTTGGGTTGTACTTAAGACGGTCATAAATATAAGAACCAACTATGAATTTCGGCCATAACTTTTTTTATTGTATAGCACTACCTACTAGATAATAATAGTACGTAACAAAGAAGAAAAAATATTTTAAACTGTGTGTATGTATACTTGTGTTATATGAAATTCTATTTTGATATACTGATCATTTTGATATCATTACATGTATATATATCTTATTTTATATGTTTTATATTAATATTTATATTAAAAAAGTGAAATATGAAGTGAAGCAGTATATTAATAATGTCGTGCATGTTTGAGAAATGGGAAAATACATCTAAAGATAAAAGCTATACTTGACCTAATGTAAGTGACTTACAATAAACGATTGTATTCTCCTTGGCTTTTACGTTTATCCTCGGTGACATTTGTCGATGGAAATATAGACAGGTTCTTTAATAGACTGTCTTTGTGACTAGTATTTCGTATAATATGTAGTTTTGACGTCAGTTCTTCATTATTATTATCATTACACTGTATATGCAATATGTATTATTAATAAGATATTAATCGCAATTGACTTTAATCTGACTTAATATATGCACTAAAGAACAATTTTGTCAAAGTATCAAAAAATTTGACTAAATACACATATGAAAATAATTATGTAGGAAACTTAAGCATGACGCATAAAAGGCTGCAAAGATTTTGTCATTTTAGCAACCAACTTGAGTATTGTAAATACTTATTTTAATAGTCCAATAAAATTATTTTCAGATTTATATTTAGTTATATTTAA